CTTCCGGTTATGGCGGCCAGGTGAAAGGACGTGTTTCCACCGCTCTGCTGTTCTTGTCAAAGAATTTACCAAAATACCTTCCCTTTCACAACGAACTAAACGGCCAGTGAGCGTGGGTGATCGGAATAATGCCTAAAGCAGCAAAAACATCCCAGGAAGTAAGTGAAAAAGCAAAACAACATAAACTGACGGATTATCATGCTCGTGGCGAAGTGCTGAAAGCTAATGCTAGCTCGTGCTCGGCTCCAATGGCCGCCGCAGACAAAGAAGAGAACCCGAAATCTCAAAGTAGCAAGGTGGATGAAATACTGTCGGTAGTCAACTCAATCCAAAAGGACTTCTCCTCTAGATTTGACGAAGTTCTGGACTCCATCGACAGTGTACGCAAAGAGATAAATGACTGTGCTCAGCGAATTACAGAAACCGAAACACGCATCTCTGATGCGGAGAATGAGATAGAAACGCTACGAGCTAAGATGGATACGCTGGAGACCAGGAAGAAAGATCTGGAAGATAAAGTTATGGATCTGGAGTCCAGATCGAAACAAAACAACCTGAGGCTGGTCAACCTGCCGGAGGGAGCTGAAGGACAAAATCCATGTGAGTTCCTGGAAAAGTGGCTGCCGGAGGCCCTTGGTGTCGGAGCAGTGACCGTGGAAAGAGCCCATCGAATTGGACCCCGGAGGGACAGCACCGCAACGCCACGCACATTAATAATGAGATTTCTCAGCAACAAGGATAAACAGCTTATTGCTCTCGCATCAAGGGCTAATACTGACATTCGCTACCAGAATCAGCAAGTCCGGTTCTACCCAGACACCGCGGCGGGACTGCTCCAGCTTCGGAAGCAGTTTGACCCGATACGAACGGAGCTACGCAAACTGGGATTGCGCCACGGAGTGGCTCATCCAGCCAAGCTGCTGGTAACTTATCAGGACCGAACCCATGTTTTTAAAACAGCGGAGGCTGCACGCGAGTTTCTAAAGAAGCTCAAGAAGAAAGCCGACGGGGAGGTAACAAAGGGCTGAATACCCATTTGGTTATTAAATTAACTATTTGTGACTCGTTTGACCTTGCTGTAGCCTATATCGGTCAGTTGTTCTGATGGTGGAACAGTAGTGGACTATTATGAATACATATAACTCTGCTTAGGCATGGCAAGAGTAGGCGTGCGCATG